TCTGCTCTATATGGTGCAGTCTTGGTGTCTAAAGGTCAGCACTGGAATCCAGATCCTGGTGTCCTCCAGTCCCAGCCAGGATTTCCTCCATCTACTGAGCACCTGCTCATGCATCAAGGAAACTGGAGAGCAGGATCTTCTTCCTAGACAGCATGGGTATATTTTCACGGTGGCCCTTGCATAGGGTCATCAGAATCCAGGCTTTCCATCAGCCAGCCACTGAGAAAGTGAGGAGCTCTTTCCTCTGGCCACCCAGCACTGCACTCCTCTTCTGCTGCTGCAATCTCTGCGCCCAGGCCTCACCTTCCCCATGACCTTAAACAGGAGCCAGGGGCTCCTCCGACTACCAGAATCCAAAGAAGGCAAGAGAAATCTCCCCCATGGTAGGAGGCCACCTCCGGTTGGGAAAAGTCCTTCTAAAATCAGCTCAATAAAAATAAGGCAGTCATTGGTCTTTCCCGAAGGCTTTTCCTGACCTTGGGCAAGTCACTTGGTGACTTGAACTTTGATGATTCATTGTTTTCATCTCTAAAATGGGCTAATAGCAGCAAGACCTAAATTAGAAAATGAAGTTTGTTTGTTTGTTTTTTTTTTAAGTAGTCCCTACTTGCAACTATAATAGTCCCTCCCACACACCCCTCCAGTTGAGCGGGTCATTTTGGATCTCAGCAGGATTTATTTGAGTCCCATCTTCTCCCCTATATCCATACCTAGTAAGAACAGAAAGCCCAGGTGAATTGTCTATCTCTGATCTCTGACTCTGACACAGATTAGATCCAAAGTTATACTGGTCACCCCGGATGCAGAGACTCTGACATTTGGGAATCTGCCCTGGGAGAGAAGGCTGTGCGTTCAGAGGCCCTCAGGGAATACTGGGATCGACATTATTCATTCCTTGACTTATGTCAATACATGTGACACCTGGTGCCACAGAGCGAGCTCCAGCGGAGGAGTGTGTAGACAACGTGGTTCTGATCCTGCTCTACCTCCCTTTCCCTGAACTCTGTTTCCTCATCTATAAAACAGGGTAACGTAGGAGGCCCCAGGTCCCTCCAGTCTGACATTCTGTTTGAGGACTGACTTCTTTCTCAGATTTGCCCTGCTTCTTTCCCAAGGTTCCGCAACTCCCTCTTCGGGCCTCTTCCTTCTCCCTTTCTGTGGTCAAGGACCAGGGCTTTTCTTGCCCAGAACTCGCTGAGACCTGTTATTTCTGGAAGTGCCACCAGGGGGAGCCTTCTTTTGGCTGTGTGGGGTCAGGGAGGAAGACAGCTCAAGTGAAGGCTGGGGAGTTTTCCAGTCCCAAGGGGTCCCACCAAGACCCAGACTGAAATAGGAGATTGGAGGACCTTGGGGGGATCTTTGGGAGACAGATAAGCTACAAAGAGCACACTCTAAGCTCTTGAAGGACTGAGACCTTGCCTTATGTGTTAATTCTTGTCTCGTGCATGGTGGGGTTATCTCATTTGATATTCAGTCTTATTCATGAGTCATATAGGGCAGGTGGGATTGCCTGTCACTTATAGTTGGGAGAACTGAGGGGCATCCAACCTAGGACAGATGTGCTGATGGCCCAAGTCTCTTAACTGCTGGCCCCGGTCTTGCTCTGTGCATCCTAGCCTCTCCCAGGGTCTTGGCCCAGGCTGGTGCATCAGAGACCTTCACAGACACTTCACAAATGAATGAGCCCTGTGGACAAGGCTGCAGCCTCCCTGGGGTAAGCCTTCTCTGCTCTGTGCTGCTCTGCAGGTGCACAAAGCTAAGGGACACCTAAGCCCCATAGTCTAGCCTTCCCTCATCTCTTACTATAGACTCACTCTCAAGACAGGGAGACGTTCACTGGGTCCTATTTCCCTGTAAGGCCCAGGCAGGGCAAGTGATGAGCGAATTCCTTCAACAGAAGTGAGTGCCTCTTTGTGGGAAGTCCTGCTCTAGGGCAGAGACTGTTTTTTGGAGGGGGATGGGATACTGGGGATTGAACTCAGGGGCACTTGACCACTGAGCCACATCCCAGCCCTATTTTATATTTTATTTAGAGACAGGGTCCCACTGATTTGCTTAGCACCTCATTTTTGCTGAGGCTGGCTTTGAACTCCCAATTCTCCTGCCTCAGCCTCCTGAACCACTAGGATAACAGGCATGGGCAACCACCCCTGGCTAAAACTGAGACTCATTTCAAAGCCTCCATCTCTATAGAATCTGCAATCTAGGAGAAAGAGATAGGCAAGATATGCAGCATGCCAGACAGCAAAAAAATGCTACTGGGAGGCTGGGACTGGTGGTGCACACCTGTTATCCCAGTGACTTGGGAGGCTGAGGCAGAAGGATCACAAGTTAGAGACCAGTCTCAGCAATTTAATGAGGCCCTAAGCAACTTAGACCTTGTCTTAAAATTTTAAAAGAAATTTAAAAAGACCTAGGGATTTAGTTTCATGCTCAAGCATCTCTGGGTTCAATCCCCAGTATCCAAAAAGCTACTGGGCCAGGCAGGGGCCTCACATCTGTAATTCCAAAGACTCAGAAGGCTGAGTTGAGAGGATCAGATCAGAAGTTTGAAGCCAGCTTCAGCAACTTAGTAAGACCCTGTCTTGGAAGAAAAAAATAAAAAGACCAGGGGATGTAACTCAGTGGTAAGGAGCCATTTGTTCAATTCCCAGTAACCCTTTCCCCAAATACTTGGGAAAAAGAAAGCAGGGCAAAGGAAATGGACCACCTGTGTGGGTAACAGGTGGGGTGTTGGTCAGACAAAACTTCAAAGCAGGATGGGCAGCACATTAGGGTGCTGGGGAAGCATTATTTCAAGCAGAGGGGACAGCAGTTCAAAGGCCCTGAGGCAACAGTGTGTGGATCTGCCTGTGCAACAGTGAGGGGGCAATGAGGCTAGAGCAGAATGTGGGTGGCCGGGTAGGAGGAAGGACAGGGAGGTGATGAGATCAGTAGGGTCTGGTAAGGAACTGTTCCTGAGTGAGATGTACAATCACTGGAGGATTCTAAACACATAAGAGGGACAAGATCTGACTTTCGTTTTAAAATGAAAACTCTGGGCGCTCTGTTCAGGATGGACTAAGAAAAAAGAGGTGCGGAAGGGACCAAGTTAGTGTTGCGATGTCTCAGCAAGAAAAGATGGTGGCTTGGAACAGTGAGCTCAGTGGAGTGTGGTGAAGAAAAGCAGCTTCTACACATATTTGGAAGGCAAAATAAGGTTTGCTAAGCATTCAGATGAGTTATGGCAGGAAAAAAAGTTGAGAGTAACCCCCAAGATTTTCTTCTGGAATAACTGGGAAGACAAGTTATCCTTTCCTGAAATGAAGGAGACTGATGGGTGCAGGACTGGGGGTGGGGGATTTGGGGGCCGGACAAGGGTTTGAAATTTTGAAGTCATGCAAGCTGAATTTGAGGTGCCTACTATGTGTTCAGGTGGAAAAAGGAAACTGGACTTAAAGGAGGGCAGGTCAGCAGAAATTAATGGTCGAGCTAAGAGAGCAAAACCGAAGCCTCCTGTCTTCCCACTCCCAATAGAGCCCTTTCCATAGTAAGAAGAGCACTCTTTCTTGTGTTGGAGAAGTTAAATACCTGCGCTCAAAACCTAGGGCGCAAGAGGAAATACGGTAACCCCCGCGCATCGACCCGGGCTTGCCAAGCGCCAGGGCTAGAGGAGGTCGGAGCAGAGGGGCTGCGCCCGCTCAGAGGAGGCTGGCTGTCTTGGGGAATTTGGGCGAGCCCCGAGGGGGCCAAAACCTCCGCAGTCATCCTGGGCGGAGCGAGAGCTGCTTGAGATTCGGGGCGGATCTCCACCGAGGTCTGGGTTTTTTCTCTCGGCAGCGGTCTTGACTCGTTTCCTGGAGCCACCGTCAGATATTTATTTAACCTCGCAGTTCAGCCTCCTGGGGGCCAGCAGAGAGGGATGGAGGCAGGGTGGAGAAGGCTGGTGGAGAAGGGGGGAGGGGAGAGATTCCTTTTCCTCCCCGCTTGCCTAATACGTGTAGTCCCTCCCGGGGCACCCAGACATCCGGGGGTCAGCCAGCCCCTTGGATCCCAAGTGTCAGCGTGAGGAGCCAGGAACCACGGAAGCCCACCCCGTCGATTTTAGAACGAAGAAACCGAAGCGAGGAGTACTTTGCCCAGGACAACAGCGAGTCCTGGGTAGTGCCAAACTCCCGGTCTCGGGAGCCCCCCATTCCTTGTCTGCCAAACGAGCATTGGGGGCCGCGTGGTGCCAAGGCAGTGGGGTGACTTCAGATCTGCGCAAGCCAGCCTTGCGATGGGGCTCAACACTTCACCTCTCTGTTCCTCAGTTTCCTAGTCTGTACAAAAGTCTCGCCCTGCCTCCTTGTCTGGTTGCTGGACCAAAGAAAAGTAACAGCTGCCAGTTGACAAACCCCAGTGAGCCTGGCACTGTCCCCAGTGCTGCTGCGCACCGGGCCTACCGGTGTCCTCCGAGGTTTGTAAACCTCCGCGGCTTCCCCAGCCTGGGAGGACGGGGCGGTTAGAGTGAGAGCTGGAAGGTGGAAGCCAGAATCCCAGGACAGAAAGGAACCCCCCACCACTCGGCGGCAGTGCCCGCCCCCGGGCTCAGGGGTCAGTGAGGGGGCCACTGGAGGAGGGGTGGCAGGGGGGAGCGGAAGTCCCTGCTAGGAGGCCCCACTTCCCCTCCCCCCGGCCGGCCCCGGGGCAGGTGAAGAGGGGACCGGGCTCCGCTCCAGGTGGTGGGGCAGCGACGGGGGTGGGGAAAGGCCCAGCAACAATGGCACTTTTCTTTGGGACTGTTTGGTTCGAGCGGGTGGGCGGAGGGGGAGGAGGCGGCGGGGCGCGGGGAGGGGGCTGGTCAGCGGCATCTGGCTGCACACCTGCTCCTGCTTAACCCTGTGCGTGCTGGGGCGGGGCGCGCGGCGGCCGCGACTCTCCAACTACCCAACAGGAGTCCAGGGCCGCAGGACAGCCAGCCCAGGGGTCCCCTGGCCGGGCCTGGCGGCCTCAGGGTACCGAAGAGTGGGGATCCCTAGCGGGAGCGTGCTCCCAGTGCCCCTGGCTGTGCCTCTCACCCTGCCCTGGCCCCTTGGAGATGGCGCGGGCTTTCCAATCCGCCTCCAGTACTTCAGCTCCGTGCAGGCAGAAGAGGGAAGCCAGGGGTGGCTCGGGGCCTCGGCGCGGACTCCCCACCGCCCTCGGGCCGTTCCGGGAAGCCGGCCTTCCGGAGGCGGCGCGGCGGCCACGGCCATGCCAAGGGCGCGAGGCGCGGGCCAGGCCCAGCGGGCGGCCGCCAGGCGGGGGAGCTAGCGCCGGGCGCGCCTCTCGCGCTAAACGCTTCCAGGCGCCTCGCTGCAGGTGAGCCCCGCGCGCAGCGCACCCCGCCCCGGGCCGCGCCGACGCCCCCTGCCGGTGGGGCGCCCAGACGGCTCAGCCCCGCGCTGCACCTGCGAGCTCTGGGACCCCCGCCCGCCGGCCGGCGCTGTCCTCCACCCTCACCCAAGGGCAGGCGCGCTGGCCCGTCGCACAATCGCAGCTTGTTTGTGGGCGGAGGAGCTGCGCCGGGTGCGGCGGCCCTGCGCCAGCCCACTGATCCCATAAAATATTATTTGTGTTTAAAAATTCCAGTAATTGGCTATGCAGCCGCTTTTTCCGAGCCCCGTGCCAAACGCAGTAAAAATCGCAGTCCGGCTGGGGTTATTTTCATCATGCAAATTCCCATTTCTGTAAACAGGGTTAAAACGCCTGGAAGGGGCCGGGCTGGGACTAGAGAAGAAAAGCAGAGGGATGTGTTCTCAGACTCTGAAGATGGTCAGAAGGGTCTCTATTACTGTGATTTTTTTGCCTGGATAGTTGGGGAGAGTTATTCAGATAATTCCCCAGTCGCTTTCCCTTGAAGACCAGTGCCTGAATCCCATTTCCTTAACTTTCTCCTTCTCTTGACCCATTTGAACAACTTACATCATTAAATCATGGAATTCTAACTTTTATCTCCTTTTTATGTTACGAGAGAAAACTGAAACCAGAGAAGGGAGACACTTGCCTAAGGTCACACAGCAAGTTAGTGTTAAAAGTCAGGGCAACACATAGACTGCCTGACTGCCCAGCTGACAGACCTCTGAAGGGCTTGGAAGAAGAGGAGGCTAGAGCAGGTGGCCAGCGCAGGTAGTGGAGAAGCCAAGGCCTGACTCCGGTGCTGATTGTGGGCATAATAACTGGGGAAAGACTCCTCCCTCTCCAAACATCCCCACTTCCTGTCCCTGGCTTGGAAAGGGGGAGGAGGGAGTCCCTGCCAGGCCCTTGGAAACCCTGAGTAATGGACAGGGGAGCCTCTGCCCTGCTCCACCCAGTGATGGCTGCTGTCTGCGGTAAGGAGCCTCTGAGAGGGGGAACCACACACGTGGGAGAGAGGGAGGGAATTTTTTCTTTTTTTTAAGCAGAGACAGAAGAGGAGCCCAGATTCTGAAGTTGGAAGGAGAGTTGGGGCTCAGAAAAGAGTAAATAATGCTAAATTATTTGTCATACTGTATGTGCCCTAATTTATTATTGCTACATTGTCTTGAATGCTTATTATGTGCCAGGCACTCCTGTTGCAATCTGTCTCATTTATCTCTTGAAGCCTAGGAGGTAGTTACTAATGTTATGCCCACTTTCCTGATGGAGATACTGAGGCTTCGGGAGATGAAGTCACCTGCTCAAAGTAGCCAATAAGGAAATCCCTTTCCCTGGGGATTTCTGTGAATAGGAGATCTGTTGACTCAACAACCCCAAGTGTTCTATCAACCAAGCATCCTCCTGTCTCACCCCACTTCTCCTTGTTAGTCATTGGGGCATGTTACTTTTTTCCCCTGGATATTCCCCCACCCAGCTTCTTCAAACCCTAGAACCTTCCATTCCAGAGGCTGAGGGATTCCTGGATAGACCCTCTGTGATGCTGTGTTTAGACCACTTCTCAGGGTGGTACAGAAAAGTGGGGTGTGGAGTTTAATGCAAAAAAACCACCACAACAACAAACTCCTTTTCCAAAAGTATTTATATACTTTGTAGTGCCTCCTCCAAGGGCATCCAAAACCATAAACACACTCCCCAAAACAGGGGCGCAGGTTGTGGTTACATAAAAGAAAGGTATTTCTAAGAGTTCAGGGTTATTTTACAGCTGAGCTGCCTGTCACTACCAGTATGTGGACACAGGCCCGGAAGCTCCCTCTCCAGTAGTGATGGCAAACGGATTCCAACTCCCCCCTTAGCTTTCTTGCTCAGAAATCAATTCTAACCCAGAACTCCAGATACACTGCTATACAAACAGAGGGCCTCACTGCAGTCCAGTGGAATTCAGGTGGTGTAGAAGTGTTTTGTCGATCTCTGAATGGAAATGCTCTCAAGGTAGAGAACATCGGGGAAGGAAGAGGACCCTCAGCTGGGCCAGGTTGGGGGGAGCTTCTGGGATGGGGAGAAATATACTTCAGGGTGGAGTCCTTGTTGAGAAGGTGAAAAGAAAAGAAAAAAGAGTGTCTGGAGGACTCTATCATGAGAAGTGTAAAAGCAAGCTGGTACCAGAATCCCAAAGGCCTGGCCAGCATCCTGAGAGATCCCACTCCTGCTTAGGGCTCCTCTCAGCCCTCTCCCTCTGGGTCTCCTATCTTCAGCCTTACTTCGGCTCAAGGGGAGTCTCCACCTCCCAGCACTGCATAGAGAGTCACCTCCAGGGCCTGGACTTGAGTTTTGGGATCCTAACACCCTCCTGCCCAAAGCTGTCATGAGAATTAAGAAGTGGGTAACAGCCTAACCCCTCAGAGAAGGAGAGGGTTCCCCCCAATGAGCTCAGGGTTCTGATCGTGAGAGCCTCTGTGTCACAGAGGAGACTTGGGTACGGTGAATTCCCGGAGAGTTCACCCAGGCCAGGTTATGTGAAAACACAATAGCTCCTTGGTGTGTGTGACCTACGTGGATGATGTCACAATGGTTTTAAGGTGTGGCTGGTATCTTTCAGCTCAGTTATTTTTGGACCTTGAAGGACCAAGAGGCAAAACCTCTTTCCTCACAATCCCCTCCCCTTGTCCCACTCCACTCCAGAAAGGGTAGGATAGAATGGTGGGGGTGGGGCCTGTGACCTTTCTTCCACTCAGCAATGAATTTGGACCTCCTCTCAAGGAGGGACATGATCAGAGATGACCATAGTCCCAACCTGTAAGGAAACACCAGTGAGAAAGATATATAGAAGCCAGGTGTGGGTGGCACCCACCTGTTATCCTAGTGACTCAGGGGGCTGAGGCAGTAGGATCACAAGTTCAAGGCTAACCTGGGAACTTAGTGAGACCCTTTCTCAAAAAATAAAAAGGGCTGGGGATGTAGCTCAGTGGTAGAGCACCCCTGGGTTCAATCAAGTACCACCAATAAGAACAATGGTACAGAAAGCATATCTTACATACCAGGTACAAACTATGTGGTCGCCGCCATCAGAGAGGAGCAAGGGGCTAAGGGGACCTAAGCAAAGAATTTTTCAAGGTGAAGAATGGTCCAGGCTTTGAATAACTGGTAGAATTTTTATCAGGCAGAGAGGGGAGTGGCAGAGAGGGGGTGGTGGGAACAGCATTGAAGCAGGCTGGAATAGAAAGGTCTACAGCAGGAGTCTGGGATGAGGCGGGTAGCTGGGAGATGGGGGCCCTGTCTCCTCCCCAAAAATCTCAGGATCTCTTCTCAATCGCTGTCCTGGTCTGAGGTCCCCCCTTGTCTCACTTTTTTTTAAGAGAAAAGAAGTGTGTACTCCAACTTCAAATCTGTGTCCAAGATCTCACCAGAGGACATTTGGCACAATGAAGAGGAGGAGGAAGAGGAAGAGGAAGAAATGGGGTATGTGGGCCTCTGCCTTGTCTGCTGTCTCTATCACTGGCTCCTGACCAGTACCCAGCTCTCCTCTCTGTCCACTTCATGCCCATCTCTACGGCTCCTCCATCTCCTTCTGCTCCCTGATCCCGAGCTTCCTTCCCTTTTTGCTCAGGATCAAGACACTCCTCTCAGTGCCCAGGCAGGAGTCGGTGTGGGGGCTGGTGGCCTGGCCCAGAGCCTCTCTGGAGCAGACTCCTTGGTGGGAAGACCTGAATTTCTCCCTGCCCCCGCTCCGTGGGCCCTGTGAGTGCAACCTGGGGGCAAAGGTGACCCTCACCCCCCAGCCCTCCCCGGCCTCCAGCTCCACCCTTCAAACCTTGCCCTACTTGTCATCCAAGTTGGAACTCACTTCTCTGGGGGACCAGCCTCAGAAAGAGCCTTCTCCGTCAGCTTCCCACAAGAAGACCCCCAAGATCAGGAGGAGGCATCACCACAAGGCCAGGCGCCAGGCCTCCCCTAAGAAATCCACTGCCTCACAGGCCCTGCAGCGACAGCTAGCCCCAATGTCAGTGTGGCCTCCGATTAGTATCAAAGCCCCCGCCAAGGGTTCAGCTCTCCAAAGTGGCCATGCACCCTTTGCCAAAGAGGACTCACACTCCTCAGGTACTGGTGACCACCCCTTGCCCCAGCTTTCTCCCAAATAAATATTTTTGTTAGATCAGCAATGGTCTATGACTTCTTTCTGTCCCCAGATAGAGGAAAGATCATTCCTGGCACTTTCACATGCATTCTTATTTCATTTCATCTTCGAGATAATCACAAAAAGGTTGAAAACAAGTCTGATTTTGTAGATGAGGAAACTGAAATTCAGAGGAGTAGAGTTACTTTCCAAGGTGGCACAGGAAAGATCTGACCTCACGTCTGAGTCTGAAGCCTGTGTCCCTTCCTCAGAGCTCCAAGATATCATTCTGGAGGCAGGCCCATGATAATACACTGGACAGGGCCAAGGAACTTGCAAGATCTTGCAGTTCCATCAGTTGAACCCACCTTAGCAGGTCAGTTTTCCTTTGAAGACTTGGGGCCAACTGTCCCCCTGTCCCCACACTGAAACTTCATCCCCTCTCCATAGCATGCTCCTCCCCCAAAAGTTCCTGCCCAAGACCTGTACCATGCATGAATTCCATCCTCTCCTTCAAAATTCAGTACATATGTGTGCTTTGTGACAAACTGGAAATCTAAACATTCACTGGATATTAAAGACTATTTTGGCAGGGTGTGGTGGTGCACACCTGTAATCCCAGCAGCTCAAGAGGCTGAGGCAGGAGGAGCGTGAGTTCAAAGCCAGCCTCAGCAATTTAGTGAGGCCCTGAGCAACTCAGTGAGACCCTGTTTCTAAATAAAATATAAAAAAGAGCTGGGGATGTGTCTCCATGGTTAAGCATCCCTGGCTTCAATCCCTGATACCAAAATAAATAAAGTCAATTACAAAATAATAGACTTTTCTTTAGGATGTTTTAGGTTTACATAAAATTTGAGAGAATAGCACAGAGAGTTCCCATGTACCCCCTGTACCCAGTCTTCCCCATTATTGGCATCTTTCGTTATTAGTATGGCAGCCTTGTTACAATAGAGGAACCAGTATGGACACATTATTATTATTAACTAAAGCCCCTGAGTAACTCAGTTTGTCTTAGTTTATACCTAATGCCCTTTTGCTGTGTCTGGATTCCATCTAGGAGACCACATTGCTTTTGGTTTCACATCTCCTTAGGCTCCTGTTGGTTGTGACGGTTTCTTAAGACATGCCTTGTTGTTGTTTTTTTTTTATGACCTTGGCAATTTCAAGGTGTGCTGGTCAGGTATTTCCTAAAGTGTGTCCCTCTATTGGGATTTGGTGTTTTTCTAATGATTCGACTAGGGTGGTGGGTTGGAGGAAGGAGGATCACAGAGGCCAAGTGTCATTTTTATCACGTCACTTAATAGGGTGGATGCTGTCCACATGATTTATGACAGTTGATCTTGACCTTGATCACCTGGCTGAGGTAGAGTTTGTCAGTTCCTCCACTGGAAAGCCATGGTCCCCTCATCCCTGCCGCATTCTTTGGGGGGATGTCACCATGCACAGTCCACATATGCACAGTGGGGTGCTGTCCCCACCTCCTGTGGCAGAAGAGTCTACATAAATCATTTGGATTTCTTCTTCTCAGAGAGTTCTCCTTTCTCCCCATTTATTGATTTATTCAATTATTTATATCAGTATGGATTCAGGGATATTTATCTTCTTCTTTGGATCATAATTTAATATTTATTTTGTTGCTCAAATTGTTCTAGCTTTGGCCATTGGGAGTAATTTCATTTGGCTCCTGTGTCCCTTGACATGTCCCCAGTGATTTGAGTTATACTTGATTTTGCTTTTATTTTATATTTTATATTTATTTTACAATTTGGGGATTGAGGGGGCTGGGGATATGGCTCATGTGGTAGAGTGCTTGCCTCATATGAAAAAGGCCCTGGGTTCAATCCCCAGCACCACTGGAAAAAAAAAATGGAAGATTGAACCCAGGCTACATTTCAGCCCTTTTTATTTTTTATTTTAAGACAGGGTTTCACTAAGTTGCTGAGGCTGGCCTCAAATTTGTGGTCCCCCTGCCTCAGCCTCCCTAGTTGCTGGGATTACAAGCATGAGCCATTGTGTCCTGCTGCCATTATTTTGGTGGGTGAGGTACTAGGGATTGAACTCAGGGGCACTCAACCACTGAGCCCCATCCCCAGCCCTATTTTGCATTTTATCTAGAGACAGGGTCTCACTGAGTTGCTTAGCGCCTCAATTTTGCTGAAGCTAGTTTTTAACTCACATTCCTCCTGCCTCAGCCTCCTGAGTGCTGGGATTACAAGCATGCACCACAGCACCTGGCTATTTTTTAAAAGAGTCTATCTCTGCTCACTGCCAGCCAGAGGACAGGGCATCTCCTCATAGCCGGGAACCTCACAGAACTTCCTATCTGGGGGTGCTGGACATGGGAGAGGGAGAAACAGCTCCACCCAAGGGCTCAAGGGCCAGATCCTATGCCAGGCATTTCCACAGATGCAGATTCAAGCTGCTTCTCCTCATGACTGTCCTAGGAAATAGGCATGGGCTCCCACCTGAATTGACAGATGAGGAAACTGAGCTAAGAGAGGCAGAAAACGCCCACTCACCCTGCGGATCCCATCAGGCCGATGGGAGCCCCTCTGAGCGCATCCTGAGGAGGCTGCCCCCTTACCGCCTCTCCTGCCGCCTCACTCCATCCTGCGAACTGTTGGATTCAGCAGGTGGAGGAAAGGGCGAGGATGGCTGGGAGAGAGAAGTGGTGTGTTTGCTCCCCAGGGGCCTCCCAAAAGAAGCTGTGCAGGTTTAGCAGCAACTGAGCTCCCCCAAGGAACAAACATGGCGGTCCCCTGGGCCACCCTCTCCCCTGACCCCAGGACCAGCCAGGTGCTACAGCTGCCCCTCTGTACCTGCATCCCCGCAGCAATGCTCCTCAGGACCCCCGGTGGGACCCCTCTTAATGAGGGCTGTGCTCTGCTGCAATTTCCAGCTTCTGCCTGCTCAACACCAATCCGTTCCTCGACCTCTTTCTGGCTTCTCTGACTCCAACATTCTCACATCCTCATCTGTCTGTGTGTCCATCCCTCCAAGTCCACACTGCACCTCTGTGTGTGGCCTGGGTGGGGGTACTCTACCACTGAACAAGGGTCTGGCAAAATTGCTGAAGCTGGTCTGGAATTTGCGATCCTCCTGCCTCAGCCTCCCCAGTCACCGGGATTCCAGCCTGGCCTGTCTCTCCCTCTCAGTCTGTCGCTGGTCTGCTCTGTCGTCGTCCACCGTATCTTTGCCTTCTTCTTCTCCTTGGTTCTTCCTTTCCGACCCTGTTTGATGCTGACTGTGCGAGTCCCTCTGGTCTCTCTCTTGATTCTGGGATTTGCCTCTGCCCATGGCTTTCTCATGACTCAGCAGAAGGCACTGTGACATCTGGGGGCTGTGGCACCTGCCTGTCATCCCAGCAACTCAGGCGGCTGAGGCAGGAGGATCCCAAGTTCAAGACCAGCCTTAGCAACTTAGTGAGACCCTGTCTCAAAAAATAAAAAGGGTTGGGAGTATAGCTCAGTGATAAAGCTCCCCTGGGTCCCCATTCCAAAAAAAAAAAAAAAAAAGGTTCCCAGCCAGAAACCTAATTCAGTTCACCTCCAGTTGGCTCAAATGAAGAGACTTAAAGAAAGGCTTGTTTCTAGAGTTGAGGAGGAACTGGAGATGGCCAGGCCCTGGACGTTAACCCCCTGGAGGCCACCCCACCCAGACAGGGCCAGGGAAGCACAGGTGCTTTGTCGGTCAGGGAAGGCTGGAGCCCTGCAGCCACCCCTGGGGCTCAGTCCTCTGCCCTCCAGCCCCCAGGCTCATGCCATTGGCCACATCCACAGGAAGCAGAGAAGAGTGAGGAACAGGCCCGATGGGTAAGGGATACACAAGGTAACCAGCCCTGAGCCGGGGACCTCCAGGGCAGGCCCCACGCCTGTCCTGGGCCCTGCAGAGCACCTGTCCCTGAGCAGCTAAGAAGCCTCAGCCCTCTCCTTCCTGTCAAGGCACACATTTTTCCAGAACTCAGTGAGAAGATGCTACAACCCCTGGTCCCTTCTGCTCCCAGGCAATCCCTGCTTTGCCGCTATTTTAGTTAGGATTAGGTGTTTGCAAGTGTCAGAAAAAACAATGTAGCAGTTATTTATAAATATAAAAGTTTATTTCTCTCACATTCAGAAACCCCATCTAATAAGCCAGGCAAAGGGGCACACACCTGTGATCCCAGCAATTTAGGAGATTGAGGGAGGAGGATCTCAAGTTCAAGGCCAGCGTTGGTAGCTTAGGCAGATAAAAAGACTGGGGGGTGTATCTTAGTGCTGGAGAACCCCTGGATTCAACCCCCAGTGCCAAAAAAGAAAGAAAGAAAGAGAGGGAGGGAGGGAAGATCCCATATATAGGAAGCTCCAAGTTGGGTAGGTAGATTCCAAGTTTTCAGAATTCCAGGCTCCTCCTTTTCTTCAGTACATGGTTTCCTGTACCTCATGATGCAATAGCACTGCTCCAGTTCCAGCCCTCACACCTATATTACCTAGTCAATAGCGAAAAGAAACCTTAGCAGGGCTGGGAAGAATGAAGGAACTTTGGAATGTGCAGAGGGGAGTAACAGGAGGGGAGGGGTGTGGGGATGGGAAGGACAGACATTATTACCCTATATACAGGTATGATTACACAGCTGGTGTGACTCTGCACCATGTTCAGCAAGAGGAAGAAGTTGTGCTCCATGTGTACAATGTGTCAAAATGCATTCTTCTGTCATGTATAATTAATTAGAACAAATTAAAACACTTAAAAAAAAGAAAGAAACCTTAAAAGATTTTTTGTTATCTAGAAGCTCCACACTCCCACTGACAGGTGATCTTGGGTCAGAACCCCGTCTCATGACCAGGCAGAACCGCTGAGGACTCAGGAAGACCTAGTTTTATTCCAAGGGAGAACCTGCGCGGTGACAGACTGCATCATTCCATTACTAAGAGGATGACAGTGGATAGAGGGATGGAACTAACAGTTCCTGCCACAACTGCCACAGTCGGGCGTTGTAGGATCCCAGGTGTTGACGGAGCAGGGGAAGAGGGTACAGCAGCCAAGTGTTTAAAGCAAAAGAAGAGACCC